GTCCCATCCCCTGTCCCCATCCATGTCCCCGTGTCCCCATCCCCATATCCCCATCCCTCTGTCCCCAGCCCTGTCCCCGGCCCCGTGTCCCCATCCCCAGCTGTGTCCCAATCCCCTGTCCCCATCCCCTGTCCCCATGTCCCCATCCCTGTCCCCAGATCCCTGTCCCCATCCCATTCCCCATGGGGAACTGCGGGGACAGGGGGGGCTGAGGAATGCTGGGGGACCCCAGGCCCTGTCCCCATCCCCATGTCCCCATCCCCGTCCCCTGTCCCCAGCCCTGTCCCCTGTCCCCATCCCTGTCCCCAGCCCTGGGGTTTGGGGGGGGGGGGGGTCACAGGGTCACTGCAGCCCCCCCTCCCCAAGAGTGCACCCCAACACTCACCACGTAATTCCCAGGGGATGAGGAGGAGTAGGCGATCTGGGGGGACAAAGGGGGGTCAGCGGGGGGGGACACGGGGGCAGCACCCCCACAGGACCCCCCCAAGGTATCCCCCCCCACCCCAAAATCCCAAAACTTACGGAGTTGGCGTTGGGGTTGGGCCAGGGCCCGCGGCCACCGGGACCCCTGGCGAGGCAACGGGGACAGTGAGGGGGGGTCCTGCCGGGCCCGGGGCTCCCCCCGCGCTGGGGGGGTCTGGGGGGGGCACGGGGGTCTTACATGTTCATGGTGGGCATTCCAGGGCCGGCCAGGGAGCTGGGGGGGGGGCGCATCCCGCTGCCGTAGCTCTGGGGGAGAGGGGGGGTCAGCGGGGCTGGGGCACCCCCAGCACTGTCCCCACCCTGTCCCTGTCCCCATAAACCATCCCCGTCCCCATATCCCCATTCCCTGTCCCCACCCCGTCCCTGTCCTTGTCCCCACCCTGTCCCTGTGAGCACTGCCACCCTGCAGCCCTGACCCTGCCCTATCCCAGAACCCCAGCACCCCATTACCCCAACACCCCAGTACCCCAATTATCCCATCATCCCCATATCCCATTATCCCAGTACCCCCCAATCCCAGTATCCCAAATCCCGGTACCCCAGTACCCCCTATCCCACTATCCCAGTACCCCAGTCTATCCCAGTATCCCCAATCCCAGTAGCCCCCATCCCAGTACCCCAGTACACCCCAATCCCAGTGTCCCAGTACCCCAGTATCCCGAATCCCATTACCCCCAATCCCAGTCTATCCCAGTATCCCAAATCCAGTACTCCCCAATCCCAGTACCCCCAATCCCAGTCCATCCCAGTCCATCCCAGTCCCCCCAGTACCTGCGGCCCCATGCCGGCCATGCCCCGGGGGGGGTTCATGCGCTGCATCGGGCCCCCCATGCCGGGATGCCCTGCACAAATTGGGGAGGGGGAGCTGTGAGACCCCCGGGGCCCCCGGAGCGCCCTGCCTGGGCCTGGGGGGGCTCAGGGTCCCCCGGGACCCCGGCTGGGGGGGCTCAGGGACCCCCGGGACCCCCGGAGCGCCCTGCCTGGGCCTGGGGGGGCTCAGGGTCCCCCGGGACCCCGGCTGGGGGGGCTCAGGGACCCCCGACTCACCCTGGGAGCGCGCGGCCGGGTCCATGGCGCTGGGCAGCAGCGGCTGGGAGCCAGGAACACCCACGGGGGGCTGCAGGGGGGGGCAACAGGAGCTCAGGGCGTTGGGGGGGGCTGCACCCCTTATTTTGGGGAGGGGGTCCCGGCCGCGGTGGGCTGGGGACAGGGACAGCGCTGGGGACACCCCTTTGGCACGCTGGGTGACACCCGGGGGGGGTCTCCACCCCTGGGGGGGGGTCCCAGGCCGTGCCCCCTCTCGGGGACCCCCCCAGCCCCCCCCGACGCAGCGACAGGGACGGGACAGCGCTGTCCCCCCGCTGCAGCGGCCCCTGGGGGGGTCACAGCGCTGCCCCCCCCCCGAGCAGGGACCAAGGGGGACCCCCCCGGCCCCCCCCGCGCTCGGTGATGCAAAGCAGCGTTGCCATGGCAACAGGTTGGGGAGCCGCGGCTCCTCCCGCGGGCTCAAGGTCAGGAGGGGGAAATTCGGGAGATTGGGGGGGGACACGCACGTGGGGGGGCAGTTTGGGGGCTGCTCCCCCCCCGGGGGGACCCCAGACCCCGCCGTGGGGCAGCTGCTGCCAACACCCCCCCCCCAGCTGCACAGGCTGGACCCCCCCCAGGTTTAGGGGGGCACCCGGGGGTCCCGATGTGCCTGGGGTGGGGTCGGGGGGCGCTGGGGACACGAGGGGGCTCCGGGACCCCCCCAGTTCAGCCCAGTTGGGCACTGGGATGG